AACACAGGCCCGATCACAGCTTCCCACCAAAAACTCGTCCCGCCCAGCCGACTTCCCGCCGGGCCGCGCAGAGTTGATGAATCTTGCAGAAGTTCATGCATCGCTCCGTCGAAATATTTGTTATGGGACGAGGTCCCAGAAGCGTCACTCGCCATGAAAACCTTCGGCCCGTCTTGTGTGTTGTGATCATTGCTCCATTAATACTTTTATGCTACTCGGCTATAATCGTGCGTCAAAATCCCACATTTTCAAATTTCTTCCACAAATTCTCATTACACGCTCTTATACTTTCAGCATGTGTCCCTCTTATGCGGTGCTTCACATTCATTAATTCTGAAAGCCTCCCAGCACTACAATTCTACTCTTTTCAACGCATTCCTAAACCTACATCGTGCGTAATTTCATCACGTTTTCTTGCACTTCTTGCAGTTAGACAATTTGTGTACTCACGCAGTTCGTGCAAAGTTGCAACCATTTGGCGATCGTATGGGACCCCCAAACGGAGGCTTCAACTATTACTCCACACTGTGGAGTCCACGCTTTACTCTCATAACGAACGCAAACAAGTGCAAAAACCATGCAGGAAATGCACTATAACCCCCTCCGTACTACGGAGTCCGTAGGAGCTAGAGCTTCCCGGAGCGAAGCGACGCGGGCTGCTAGTTTGTGTAGTACGCTAAGCTGTGTAGCTAGCACGCTAGAGTGTTGCAAGATCACTACTCATAAGTGAGTGTGGAATTGTCCGTAAGCATTTACGGTTCTATTGTATCTACCGTGCACTGGAAGTGTACTCTAAGATTCAGGGTCTGGTTTGCGTTATCTACAAGTTGGGCTCTACTTCAACTTCTTGCACTTGCATTCATACCTTGACATATTGTGGAATATTTTGCAATTTTTATTATGGCTGAATGGGGGGTATAAAGCTGACAGTGGTTCATCTTCTTCTAGCAGGAGTGGGTGAATCATTTGGAATTCGGGCAGAGATAGATCGACCTCAGAACGCTCTCATCATTCGGACGACAGACTCGGATTTGCAGACCACTATCCTGTTCACCATGTAACCCGTCGTGTAGATGTGAGCGTCGCTGACAACATAACGAGTTCAGGTACGGGAAGTTTCCGGGCCAGACTAGATCGCATGATTCCCTTCCCGGCGGGAACAAACAACTGTGGGCCTGTTTCACAAGGATACTTAATTTAAGGTGACTTAAACTTAAAAACAACTAAAGGAGTTACTTAAGTTAAAGGCGCAATTTGCTCCTATGAAACAGGCCCTCAATTTTGCGTTTTTGACGATTCATAATAATATTATGGGTTCTATATCATGAATTGAAGGCGAGGCTAGCTAACATAAGACCAATTCTGATTAACGAGAGGATAAATTTCTGAAATTTCCACTGTTGATAATCCTGAATCAGGATTCCTGATTACTTGGAACGCAATCATCCTCGTAAAAAGGTTCGCAATCGCATACAACATATTTTAAATGTTCAACACCAAAGTATGGAATCCAGACTGTAGCAAATAGAATCGTTCCTGTTTGCGGGAATACCTTTCCGAAAGGTCCTTTCGGGATGGTATTCGCAAATTTGCCTTGAATGAACCGTGATTAAACCGCTGCTTCGTTGCTAAGAACACAAAGTCTTGAATAAATATGAACACATGCAGGATGATCGAAAAATAGTCATACAGCGTGATTACACAGATGACTCACGATTGAAGTCGACAGTCCAGTAGAACACCCGACGTAGGATTGAGCGGTTATCGCCGAAAGGGAGTCGGCGATGTCTGAGGACCTCCGCACATCTAACTTCAAATCCTAGCTTAGCTCTAGACAAAGCCCTCAATTGATAACTGCGACATACAGTATTGTCGTGCAGAACTTCATAATTGTCCACATTGAAGTCGTCAACAGAAAATTGATTAGATCCATTCGAAGTAGTCCTCGGGTGAATCTCAACATTGGCAATCCCATTCATCGTGGTCGGGTCGAGAGCACCACACAACTTCTTAGTCCACTCGTGAATGCTTATTTCATCACGGTCCAGTTCATGTTGCGATAATCGCAGGACATCAGTCCCCAGCGGATCGGCTTCCATGCTGAACAGGGTGCGCCATTTGATCAGTTCGAGCCCGTTTAGAAAGGAGTTGCGCGATTGGACGGCCATGAGCATGCCAGAAGTCGTTCCCTGTTTTTCAAGTGCGATTAGGTTCATAGCAACCAATCCAGGAGGTAGGTTATGTTCATCGACAACAAAAACCCCAGCCAATGTCGTCCTGTCTACGAGAAGGATTAATAGCACTATTAGAATCAGGCGAACTCTCATTGAGCTATACAACGAAAACTGGAAGACAATCACATTCATCCTGGGGAGGATCAGCACGCTCACTTTTGAGCTGAGATGATGAAATCATGGAGGAATATTGGGCGGCCCCTCCACTTCTTGTTCGATACGTCTCGTGTGAAGTGGTTGGAAAACTATTTCCGTGCATGCCAATCGCGTTCGCCATAATGTCTCTGGAACTTCCAAATTGGACCCTCGAGCTGTAACAGGAGGAAAGCGCATTAGGCTTTTCGGTAGGTAAAGCATCAGTCGGAGAGTATATGCTGCAGCAAAGACCTTGAGCATTATTATACTCGTAAGGATTTACCCTGATATTGACAGAAAAATTGATACCCCCCAAGTGGCCTTCCGCCGCGGGAGATCCGGCCTAGAAGTGATACACGCATCACAATTATTGATAGAAAGTGTAATGCCTTCGAACTATCACCGACATTGACCAGTACTGATTTCAGAAAGGCCTTCGGACAAATATCTCGAGATCATGTGTATGAATCTCTGCGGTTGGCTCGGGTACATCCGAAGTACATAAGGATTGTAAAAAATTGTTATGAATCAGCAAAAGCCATAATAAGGTTGCATGAGATAGAGCAGACAATCGAGCTCAAAAGGTGACTGCTGGAGTTTCCCACTATTTACCTGCGGTTTGGTCCGTATCTTCAGCCAAAGGATGAGGGAGTCGGGATACGGATTTCGCTTAATCAAGGAGATACAGCTGAGCGCTACACCAGACTCAGTATCCGGAAGCTGGACCTCGAACTACGTCTCAACGAGTTAAGTTTTGCTGACGACGCTGCAACACCTGCATACACAATCGACGGAACTGACCATCAGCTATCGTATCTTGAGGAGGATGGAAGACTTGCGATTCGCAACTTGCGAATCTCGTGATAGCACCGGAGAAGTAACTGAGGCTGTGCGTTAACCTGGAGAGTAAGGAACTTCCTTAAGGCTGCTTTCAAGGCAGCTCGGAAAAGTCCAGGATCAAATGAACTGATAAATTGAGTATCCTCGGTGCAATAATCAACGGCAAACGGGATATTGAAGCCCATATTCGTCGGCTCATGCAACTCGCGGGGCGAAGAATGGCAAGACTCCAGAAAGTTTGAAACTCGCATGATGTAAGCTTGAGCCTCAAGCCTTGAGGCAGAAGTTAATTATTCTCCGAAGTGTGGTATTGAATACCGATTTCGAGAATATCTCGAAATCATTATATGCTAGCGAGTGCTCTGCCCTTAGCAAAGATGAGACGGAGAAATACTGTGCGTCCTACAACAAGTGTAACAAGCCTTTGTCGCACACCACAAACCGCGAAATTTGCAGTAGGTCTGGTTGCCCCGATTGTCACATAGTCCTTAGAATGCGACGCATTCAATGCGTCGCTCGCGGTGGTAAGGCCACATCCTCAGAACACCCCCCGCATCTTTAGTGAACAGACTACTGTTGTGGGATCCGGCATATCATTTGGGAGCTCAGATAAGAGACAAGAAGATTGGATTGATCTCATAGCAGGGCCCCTGCTGCAGGGGATCTGAGGGTCGCGAATTTGTCGCGAGGAGATGCTCAGGAGCGAGTTCTCTGGGAGAGAAGAATCAAAGCTTTGAGGCCGAGATGAGAAAAAAGACTCAGTCAAGTGCTGGTCTCCTTGAGCTGAGTACGTCGACCTTATGAACAAGCCGACTTGCCATTACCTGTTGGTTTTTCGCCTGACCGAGAACGGCCGAGAGCGAGAGAGATGATCAAGTAGAGAAAAAGTCAGTGAGCTCAGTTCACTGAACTGAACGGACCACGCCAACGGTTGGCGGCCAACTGTAACCTCACACTCCTCATAACCCGAACAGAATCTCCGGCGGGTTGATTGGAAAGTGTTAGTAATGGCGAGTGTTGGAATTTGTGCTCCCACGACTGCAGAACTCGATGCCATGATGGACTCAATGAAATAAAGAAACTCTGCCTCCCACCATTTATCCTACTTGCAGCTACTTGCTGTTAGTAACAGCCTGTTACGAAATCAACTATCCGTCATGATGTACACATCAACAAGTGAAAGAAAAAGCAACGCGTCATGGATTATTTGCGCGTGTGCGGACTATGGAGCATCAACCTCCATCAGAATTCCGGGCTGAACTGAGGATCTGAAAGTATAGACTGAAGTATCGCAAAGTTTGTTCAGTCATAAGTCTCAAATATCAGGAAAAAATCAACTTCAAAGCACAGCCGCTTGAGACCTAACGAAAGAATAAGGAGCGCGTCTGATCCACGAGGAATATCTATCGGACGCAGCACGCTTCCTCTTGTGAATGATAAGCCATCACGGGAAACTTCATGAAACTGCTGACGA